CCTATGGGCCACAATGTGTTTTATGCCCTGAGAATATGCTTTATCTGTAGTACTATAATAACAAAAGAAGAAATCAGAGGTTAAACATAACTACTTTTCTTATTACATCATTGTCTTAACATTGTTTCATACTCTAGATTACAGTGATAAGTAATAGGCTTTAAATTCTGCATCATAAATTAAACCATTTATCATAAATTAAAGGACTTATTTGGAGCACAATTGGCATGAATGAGTGTTTTCCAAACTGAGTATGTCAAACTGAACTAAACCTGAGAAATGTCAGAGAAAATGTCCTCGTACTTCCCAGTCTCCTTTCTTTTTAAATTTTTTTAGTTGTCAGTGAACTTTATTTATTTATATGCAGTGCTCAGAATTGAACCCAGTGCCTCACACATGCTAGGCAAAAACTCTACCACTGAGCCACAACTCCAGCCCCTGTCTTTCTTCTTGCTCTTTCTGTCTCCTTTAAGGTTTGGCACAGATAAACCTCATTTTTATACTTTCCTCCATTTTTTGGAAAGGGGATTGGTGCACATCAAGTACAGATATTGGCAGTCCGTATTGGATTTATGGCCCTTCTAACTAAAATCTGAATAGAAGCCAGCCCTTCAGTAGTCTCAGCCATCTGTAGCTAAAATGATAAATCTAGAAATGATTAAAAAATGTTCTCTGAGTAACAGATATTTTTCATAAAATCAGGTACTAAAGTCAGTGCATTTCATTCCATAGAACAGACAATCTTCCCTTAGGCAAGACTACTGAGTATAAAATTGGGCAGTAGATCAAAGTGGGGACACAAAGACATACTAATAGTGACAATAGGAAGAAAAGGAAAATAGGAAAAAATCACACAAAAGCAGGCTGGCTGTGGCCATTTAATATAGGCTCAGAGATTAACTAGTTTGCCTGTGGTCATCCAGTAACTAGTAAATAGAAGTGTCTTGGTTTGAATTCAGTGCTGTCGATTCCCAAATCGTTCATCTTCTGCTGAACCATCAAGAGGAAGGTCCATGGCAGTCATGCTGGGAAATAGATTTGTTAGGCATGCCTATTGCATGAGAACTGGGTTCAAACTTGATTTTATAATAGTCTAGGGTTTTTGAGCAGGAAAGGGTTTAGTATAAACCATTTTCCAAAGCATTAGTCAAAGGGTCATGTGCAAAATTCATTGGAATAGAGAAGATATCTGATATTGGGTGGGGGGGATTATGCCTTAGGGTATTAACATTGGAGTAAAAGCAGGAGTGGGATAGTATGTGATTTGGAAGATGAAAGAAGGAATAAAGGGAAGGAAAGATTTTTGAGGCCAGGTGATAGGCCAACTTAAGAGGATCAACGGATGTTGGAGACACCGAGAAATGGCTTAGAGATAACCTCTTCCTTTGGAAAAGTGAGGAAACTAAACTCACTTTGAGAAGTTTTGAGTTGAGAAGTACCTTTTTCAAGGTCATAGAATTAGTTCAGCCCTTTTGTAACCCCTAATTCACCTTTGCCCTACTCTGTGATTCTACTCTCAGTGTGCTGTAATCTTCAACTCCTAAATTAAAATTACCTAGTGGGTACTTGTTAAGTTGGTACCCTCGAGTTTATGACCACGTCCATTTGCTGCCTTCCTGCCCACTTGGACACCACAGTCTTCACTGCCCACTGTCTCTACAACCAAAGAATCATCTCTTTGGCTTTTTGAAAAAAATATTTTTAGTTTTAGATGGACACAATACCTTTATTTTATTTATTTCTCTAAGTAGTGCTGAGGATCAAATCCAGTGCCCCATACCAGGCAAGGGGTCTACCACTGAGCCACAACCCCAGCCCTCATTGGCTTTTATCACATATTTTTCCTTGTTTTTTTGGTTGTGACATCTCCCCTAGAATGTCTTGCAGTCTTGGATTTGGAATGTTATAATTATGCTTGAACTTATCTCCATTGAATTTTTAAGGAGTGCCTCTTCCACACAGTCCATTGTGGGACAGCTGTCCACATATCACATGGTGTTGCTTGTGATGAATCTTCCTTTAAAAGAATGTTCCCACTGACCAACTTAACCAAGACTGCATGAGCCATCCTTTCTTTCATGCTTGGAATTATCTTTTATGTTTTTAGACTCACAGAATAACAGATTGGCAGGGACCTTCAGTGTCATCCTAGCCAAACTCCCTTATTTTGTAGAAGAAAAACCATGGCCCCAGGAAGTTGGAACTTTTCCAGCACAAGGTCCTAGTGAATTAGTGCTGGTTGAAGAGGTCTACCAGTTTCCTAATTTATGAAATGGAGATGATTCCAGCTCTGTTTACCTCAAAGTAATTTTGAGGATTAGCAAGATGAAACTTTTGAAAACTGTACATAAAATGGAAGTATTATCATCAAGGCTTTCAAGTCAAGGCAAAGCAACTCTTTGAAATTGAGTAAAAGTATGGAACGTGAGAGTAGGAACACTGGTTGTTATAGGACTTTCCATCAGATTATGAATTCCTTTATAACCAGAGATTATAGAGGTTAGTCTAACTCCTAATTTAATATTTTACATAGAGGAAAATTGAGATTGCATAGCAAGTTAGTAGCAAAGTCTAAACCCCAAATTACCAGAATTCATCCCAGCCCCTTTATTCTATTCTACATAATATAGCACCTATGCATAGCAGGAGCTGTTTCCAATCTAGCAGGCAGGCACAAGAGCAGTTACAATGCCATAGAGAAAAATCACAGTAAAATGAGAGCAGAATCCAGGAATATCCCTTATTCTCGGGGTCCCAGTTCCCAAGGGGTTCTGTGGTGTGCCCAACACAGTGTGAAACATCTCCTTTTGATTCTTTTTCTAAAATCAGTAGGCATTCAGGCTGGGGATGTAGCTCAATGGTATAAGTGATTTCCCAGCATGTGTAAAGAGCAGGGTTCAATCCGTAGTACTATTAAAAAAAAATAAAAATAAAGTAACATGTAGAGTAATTCATATCTGAGGCTAATAAGCTTACTTTTCCTGTTATCTTCCTTCATTTAAGCTTGTTTTAAAAATCATTTTGAAGGTGCCATAATGCTCAGGGAAGTACACAGCCAAGGCCCTTTTTGCTGTTACTGATTTCATGTTATCAATCTATGTGGCTGGGGAGTTGCCAGGCCAGAGGAGGGAAGGGCATTCCCTCAGGGGTACAGATGCAGTAGGATGGACACTGGGAACGAGTTCTGTTTGTGTCTGGCCCTAACCATATGTCTGATCCTTCCAGTGTCCTGCTTTTGGGGGAGGGTAGCAACCTGACATTGTGTTTGCCCTCATCTTATCTTGGCACCAAATAGCTTCTTGTTTGCTTGTCATGTGATTGCATGCAATGGGGCTTTATGTGTGAAGTGTGTGCTACTTTGAAAACATTTGAAATATCCTTAACAAAATGCTCAAAATTGTCTTTTTCTTCCTTTTTTTTTTTTTCCCTTGATGCAACAGAAAATGTCCCAAAAACAATAGAGGACGTCGACAGAAGCAAAACCTAGGTCATTTTACTTCAGATACTTCATCCAGAATGGTTTAAATTTATGACTTTTATATGTACACTGACCATGTGATGTACACTTATTATGTCTTTTTTTAAAGAATGGGAATATTTATTTCAGAGGCCTTATTTTTGGACATTTTTAGTGTAGTACTGTTGGCCTGTATTTAGAATATTCAGCTACAACAGTTTTGGACTGTTTAGAAGTCTTTGTTTTATGTTTTTAAATGCAGAAATTGATTTAACGAATTTGTACCACATGGTAATTCCAAGACTAGTTCTTTACCCATGGAATGTAATATTTTTGCAAAAATGGACCCACTTCACAAATGGTTATAAAGTCATACTCACTTCTTCTACAATAACCACAGCAAATGACCAAGCATGAACTAAAATTAAAGATGTTTACAGATTACTTTTCTTACAAAAAAAAATTCTAGAAGACACTGTGTTTAAATAGATATTTAAATGTTTTTGAGATTTAGTACTTGATTTTTTTAGACACTGCCTACCGCATGAACTGTAAAGCTGTGTGTGTTAGATGTGAAATATTTATAAGATGTATGGACTGGAATTTGCTTATTCCTCTCTTTGAAAAGATAATTCTCATAATTTGAAAAAGTACCTGGTAGTAATGATGCGACAGATCACTGAAAAGTAGATTTAGGTGTTGTTAAAATAGGCTTTTAACAAACAGATTGGAATAAAGCCTACACTGTCAGTGAAACTACTTTAATACACATTCATTTTTAAACAAAATATTTGTTTTAACATGCATAAACAAATTGTACCAGTGTTTGTAAATACAAAAATGATTGTTACTGATTGGTGCTCTTAAAGTGAGCTTAAAAATGACCTAAGACCTCTATCCAAATTTGTCCTGTAGTCATAGCTATATTAGTAGATTGTTGGTGTTTAAAGGTCTAAAGTGTGAGTAGACTGTATTGAGCTGTTTAATGTGTAGTTTAGATACTCAAAAATATGCATGTAGAATTTAAAGAATAATGATTGAAATTAAATATTAATTTTAATATTTGGTTTGGAAAAGCATGTTATAATATAATGTTTTCACTATATGGCCTCTTTTGGTGTGTTTATTTACAGTATTCTTTGATACTGATATATCAGTGTATAAAATAGGTAAAGTTAGTAGGAAAAGCAGATTTCAGTTCATAAAACCCCTTTGGTTTTACAAATACTGCTTGAAATTATCTAAAGACAAAAGCTTTAGCCCGTATTTGGAATTTGCTTTATTACTTGGCTTCAAGGCTTAATATTAGTAACATGGTGGCTTTAGTGAACTTTTTAAAAAAGCTTTCCTCTTCTGCCCACACAGTCCTATTTGAGTCCCTTAGTCAGTCAGCAAGCATGTTTGGAACAGTCCCGGGTCCTTTGCAAGGGCTCATATTGCAGAACAGTCACGTATGGGTATTTGTCGTTATAAATACTTGACCGTTCTCCAGGGGTGGGGTTTCCAGCCCTTTCAGCAATTCCGTTGCCTGTTATTGAGCTGGCTTTGTGCTCCAGGTGTCTGAATTGATTGCAGTAGGACATCTTTCACTAAGAAATAAATAAAATGGAACAGAATGGGTCTGCTTCAAATGCTGATAAAATCCCCCAGAATCGCCTGTCGAGTATTACCGAGGATGAAGACCAAGATGCTGCTCTTACCATTGTGACTGTGCTGGACAAGGTAGCTACCATTGTGGACACTGTGCAGGCAAGCCAGAAGAGAATAGAAGAGAGACACAGGGAGATGGAAAATGCCATAAAATCTGTTCAGATTGACCTGTTGAAGCTTTCACAGTCACATAGCAATACAGGCTATGTCATTAACAAGCTGTTTGAGAAAACACGAAAAGTCAGTGCTCACATTAAAGATGTGAAGGCCCGGGTGGAGAAGCAGCAAGTTCATGTGACAAAAGTTGAAACCAAGCAAGAGGAAATAATGAAGAAGAATAAATTCCGTGTAGTGATATTCCAGGTAAGCTTGCACTTGTGTTCAGTTTGATTTCTGTTATCTCTTATATTCTTTAATTGTCAACAGGTCATATCAGAGGTTTCCAGTGTCACATCTTAGCCATTGTATATATTAATGCGGTAGAATTCTGTATTAGAAGGGACCTCAGAACAAAACCATTTCTATGTTAACTAGTGCACTATCTATCATATCAGTATTTTGAGCTCTCAACCATTTCATGTAATGTGAACTGTGTGGCTCATAGCTTAGGCTATTTCTTCCCTTTGAAATTTAATATTGCTGAAGCTCTTTTAGTATATTAGCCTTATTAGCATGATGCCCTCTTGTAGTCTTTGAGAAAATGTTAGAATTAGAGACCACCTAAGAGATCTCTCGTTTAAAACACCTCCTTGTTGCAAAAAAGAAGAAACTGGAAGGGATGCTTGTCTAGCATGTGCAAGGCTCTGGGTTTGATCAGCTGCACAACAAAAAATGAAGAAGAAACTGGAGTTCAGTACCCCAACAATAATCTTTTTTCTTATCATGGAGAGTCTACAAAGCCCCAAATACAAACTTTTCAGAATATATACTTGTCTATGGGAATTTTTACATTTGTCATAATAAGAAACAATATCTATTTCCTAACAATCAAGTAATCATTTTTACATTGTTATTATAATACCAAAGATACAAAAGTCACATAAACTACTATTTATCTGATTGCAAAGTCTCTTTACTTAGCTTATTTAATATAATAATATATTGAGCTAAGTTCCTAGAATCCTGCTCAGCACTCAAAATTTTCGAAATAGAAGCGTATTCATGGCAAATGCATAATATGTACAATATATTTTTAAAACTCTTACAAATGAAAAGGAAAAGTTGGAACTCTCTTCCCACAGTTTAAAACAAAAACCAGGAAAGTCATTATCTGGCAGCTCACAAAGGATGAAATAAGTAAGAACAGAATTCATCTTTCACATATTTAAACACTGGAAGTTACTAAAACATATGCTCAGTTTAAGTGTAGGAGAAAACAACCAGTTTCATGTTCTGCTGGCAGGAGTATTAATTGATGCAACATTTTTTGAGGGCAATTCTGTGATGTATAGTAAAATCTTTAAAAGTACCCAAACCTTTAACTCCAAAATTTCATGTCAGAGAATTTTTTTCTAAGCATGACATCAGAAATATGTGCAGGAATGTTCACCGGTACATATTAAAACTATATTTTTAAGATGGATGCCTGTGTGCATAGGGGAAAAACCATAGAAGAATAAAAACAAAATGATATAGGAAGACAGTTGGATTATATTTGCAAACTACTAGAGATGTGGCCTATAACTCTGCACAGTATTCTCTATGCGTTGGTCAGTTCTCCATAGCCCTCTGTTGACTGATGAGAGTTACACTAGGGTAGTAGAGAGGTATTTTAGATCTGTTTTTAAAAGCTTGTGCTTGTAAGTTAGTTAGGGAAAAGAATAGGAAGGAAAGAGAAGGATGCTGATTTCAAAGGTGGACAGAGTGGACTATTCCATTAGCAGTCTTTACCATTTCGCTTTCCTTCCAGGTCCCTAGAGGCCCTTCTCCAGGCTGAAACATTTCACATCATTTTCAGAGGCCAGGTCCAGGGTTAAGTATGTGTAGTGAGGATCTAGATTTGATATTGAACAATGTGATATCAGTTCTTTGATTCTCCTTCTGGGGGTATTTGCAGTAATGGGTATATCTCATCCTCTGCTTGCACATGGCCTGCCAGGAAACACACTTGGCATCTGACATTTTTCTTGAGGACTTTAGTACAAAGCAGTGGACCAGGTGCTAGCCCAGATTTACACAACTTTCAGTGAAGAGGTTTCCTAAAAGTTCTGACTGTTTGTCCATCAACATATTTCCTTTATTTTAAGTTGCTATGTTTCTGTATTCACCTGTTAATTCCCTATAACTTACTAGCAACGTACTCTTTTTTTTTTTTTTGAGCCCCTAGAGTTACTTAAAGGAACTGAGAGATACAGTTTAGGGCAAATCTCATTTCTTGTAAGGTATAATATCATGAAGATTTTGTGAATTAAGTTGTTCAGAGTAAACAGTAGTTTGTAAAAAAAAAAAATTGCTGGGGCTAGGGCTATAGCTCAGTGGCAGAGCGCTTGACTAGCAAATATGAGCACTGGGTTTCATCCTTAGCATCACATAAACACATACGCACGCACACACACACACACCACAAATAAAATAAAGACATGCTGTCCATTTACAACTACCAGAAAAAGTTAAAAAAAAAAAGCAACTGCCATTCTTCTATAAGCAAATAGAGAAAAGATATTGACATTTAACAATGGACATAGAACTTGGATTCATAAATTTATTTTATGTTAGAACAGTGTATATGACATGTACATAGTTGGTTGTTATTAGTTAAAATTTTCATAATGTGTATAAATGATTATGTGGAGACACTCCCTCTACTAATATTTTCTTGGCTGTAATCTTTTGATCTCATATCTCCTATAGTTGTGTATGGCTAAGTTTCCGTCCAATCCTGAACATTGGCATTTTAAAAAGTACCTGGCATTTCTTAAACAGTTACAATGTGAACACATTTTCATCATGACCCCTCTCATCCTGCAAGCTAGGAATTGTATTATATCTTCTTGTACTTGTGGTATCAGAAACATAAATGGCCAAGGGAGATATTTGACTATTCCCTTAGATTCTTATATGTTCCTAAAATCCCCTGGATATATGGATGTTCAGTCAAATTTAGCTTACTCTGACCCTTGAGTCAAAAACATGTTACAAAAAAAAAGTTTTTTTAACCTAGACTTTTATAAACAAAAATAATTGAAGATCAACTACAATCTTTGATTCTTCCCATTAACTCATGGTATTGCTAACTCAGAAGAGTTGTAACAGAGTTTCCATAGCAACTACTTTTTCTGACTCTCCATCTGTTTTACTTTTATTTGGGTGGTGGAGGTGGGGTACCAGGGTTTGAACCCACAGATGCTTAACCACCAAGCTATATCCCCAGCCCTTTTTATTTTTTACTTTGAGTCAGGGCCTCACTAGGTTGCTGAGGCTAAGTTTGAATTTGTGATCCTCCTGTCTCAGCCTCTCCCAGGCCACTGGGATTACAGGCATACACCACTGTCCCTGGCATTTTGCTTTGGTTTTAAGCCTGATTTTTATACTATTTGTTGTGTAGTTGAGGAGAGGAGTGTGTGATTTCAGAGGCAAGCTATATCTGAAGTTTTCATAGCAAGATTGTGAGGGTTTTTTCCCTACCAAGCAGTAATTACTTTTCCGCTCCTTCCTTTTCTAATTATACCTTTTTTAGGCCAGCCCAACCCACACTGTGTTGCTGAAGCTACTCCCTGCAGCAGGTATCAGGAAGGGGGTGGGGGGGGGGCTACTTTTGCTGCCTCTGATTCATCAGAGAGTTATGATACGCCCACCTCTGCTTTTTTTTTAAGCTCATAGACACTGCAATCCTGTAGCCAAAGAATGTAATTTGAAGTAAGTATTCAAAGAAATAAGGTTCCAGGGATTCCTTCCTGACTGTCAGGCTAAGTTTTAGAATATGTGTATATGTGTTTCTGGTGTATTTATTATATATTTTTTTTAAAAATTATATTTTAGTTGTAGTTGGACACAACACCTTTCACTTGTTTATTTATTTATTTTTTATGTGGTGCTGAGGATCAAACTCAGGGTCTCACACGTGTGAGGCGAGCACCTACTGCTGAGCCATAACCCCAGTCCCTCTAGTGTACTTATTATATCTTAAATTTTTTTTGTTATTGTAGATGGACACAAAATACCTTTATTTTATTTATCCGTCTTTATGTGGTGCTGAGTATCAAACTCAGTGTCTCACATGGGCCAGGCAAGCACTGTACCACTGAGCCACAACCCAGCTCTCTTTTTTTTTTTAATTGAATAGAATTAATCTCAAGTAGGAACAGTTTCTTTAGAAAACCGTCATTCATGGTGTAGTTAAAAACCTCATGGTCTTTAAGTTTTGCCTGTTTATTTTTAGAAGTGATCCGTAAGTATTGAGTTGGGTTTCTTTACATCTGTGGTCTGGTCTAACTCTCAAGGCCATCCGTGTGTGTTATGTTTTCCAGTTCAATTCTCATTCTTTTGACATATCTGGCATTGTTGGTGCTGGAGGAATTGAGAGTATTGTGTGTTGCTGGTCTGGAGAAGTGGAAAAGTAGGGTCAGCTCAAACTGAAGAGGTAGAAGTAAGGAATTAGTGAACAGGTTCAGGCCTCAGATGACAAGGACCTGAATTAAGACATTGGTAGAAAAGTGTGAAGGGAGAGGGGACTAGGTGAGTTATCACACACAGTGACAATACTTGGCAAACTGTTGAATGTGGGGCAAGAAGAGGAAACTTTGGTGGGACAATTCTGAGGTTTCTGTCTTCTGTAGCATGTGGATGGTTACTGGTGCTGGGAGGTACAGGAAAAGTGAAGTGGAGAGGATGGTGGGTGGGTGTTGATTTTTGGACTTGCTCAGTTTGAGGTGTCTGTGTTATATCTGGGTGGAGCAGTCTGATCATCGTTTAGATGGGTCTTCATCTTAGGAGAAGGGGGAAGGTGAAGATAAAGTGTGAGAAAAGGGACAATGAGTGAGAAACCTGAGAAAGGCCAATTAAAAATAATTTTTTTATTTCAATTTGTTAGATGACAGTGGAATGAATTACAATTCATATTACACATATAGAGCACAGTTTTTCGTATCTCTAGTTGTATACAAAGTATATTCGTACCATTCATGTCTTTATACAAGTGTTTTGGATAATGATGTCCATCTCATCCCACCATCATTTCTAACCTCATGCCCCCCCACCCCTCTGCCCTATCTATAGTTTATCTATTCCTCCCATGCACACCCCCTCCCTACCCCACTATGAATCCACCTCCTTATATCAGAGAAAACATTTGGTATTTGTTTTTTTGGGATTGGCTAATTTCACTTAGCATTATATTTTCCAACTCCATCCATTTACCTGTAAATGCTGTGATTTTATTCTCTTTTATTGCTGAGTAATATTCCATTGTGTATATATAGCACATTTTTTAAATCCATTCACCTACTGAAGGGCATCTAGGTTGGTTCCACAGTTTAGCTATTGTGAATTGTGCTGCTGTAAACATTGATGTGGCTGTGTCCCTGTAGTATGCTGTTTTTAAGTCCTTTGGGTATAGACTGAGGGGAAGGATAGCTGGGTCAAATTGTGGTTCCATTCCCAGTTTTCCAAGGAATCTCCATACTGCTTTCCATATTGGCTGCACCAGTTTGCAGTCCACCAGCAATGTATGAGTGAGCCTTTTCTCTCACATCCTCGCCAACACTTATTATTGTTTATATTCTTAATAGCTGCCATTCTGACTGGAGTGAGATGAAATCTTAGTTTTGATTTGCATTTCTCTAATTGCTACAGATATTGAACATTTTTTACATGTTTGTTGATTGATTTATCATCTTCTGAGAATTGTCTGTTCAGGTCCTTGGCCATTTATTAATTGGGCTATTTGTGTTTTTGGTGTTTAGCTTTTTGAGTTCTTTGTATACCCTAGAGATTAATGCTCCATCTGATGTGTACAGGGTAAAAATTTGCTCCCAAGAAGTAGGCTCTTTATTCACCTCCCTGATTGTTTCTTTTGCTGAGAAGAAACTTTTTAGTTTGAATCCATCCCATTTATTGGTTCTTGATTTTAATTCTTGCACTATAGGAGTCTATTTTAAGGAGCAGCAGAGAAAGGATTATGGAGGAGGTCTGCAGGTTGACCATAGGTAAGAGTTTTTCTACTACAAATGAAGCACTAATATGCTTTTTTTTTTTTTTTTCTGTCCTTCAGGAAGAGATTCGGTGTCCAACATCTCTGTCTATTGTTAAAGACAGAAACCTAACTGAGAATCAGGAGGAGGAAGATGAAGCCTTTGATCCCCCAATAGATCTCTCTTCGGATGAAGAATATTATGTTGAAGAAAGCAGATCTGCCAGGCTTAGAAAGTCAGGCAAGGAGCGCATTGATAACATCAAAAAGGCATTTTCCAAAGAAAACATGCAGAAGACACGGCAGAATTTTGACAAGAAAGTGAACAGAATTAGAACTAGAATAGTGACTCCAGAGAGGCGAGAAAGGTTAAGGCAGTCGGGGGAGAGGTTGAGGCAGTCAGGGGAGAGGCTGAAACAGTCAGGGGAGAGATTTAAGAAGTCTATTTCTAATGCTGCTCCCTCAAAGGAAGCTTTTAAGATGCGTAGCCTGAGGAAAGCAAAGGACCCCACAGTGACCCAAGGTCTGGATGGGGACAGGGAGATGGGCGTGGATATCATTGCAGGGAGCCCATCTCTGGGCCCTGTCCATGAGCTGCACACTGATGAGCCCAGTGACACAGAACAGGAGGCCACCAGGGTGGGGTATGCTCCCCGAGAAGGAGGGGACGTCCCAACCCCAGAGCCTTTAAAGGTTACTTTTAAACCTCAAGTGAGAGTGGAAGATGATGAGTCTCTTTTGTTAGATTTAAAGCAGTCTTCATAAAGAGGAATTCAGAGTCAGTCTACATCTCCTTAATCATGCTTTTTTAGTTTGAATAGTCATTTATTTTTATGCTGTGTAAGAAAAAAAAATGATAGGGCTATTTCATTTCTTATGTTTAAAATCTTGAAGATCATATAAATGTTGCATACTTTTGTTTGTAACTTCCTTGGGAATTCTGTTTCCCCTGAGCCTGTATGATTCCAGCAGCTTTTTCTCTTACATCATTCTTTCTTGTGGCAGCTGTGGCTTTTTAAGTTTAACCTTTCTCTTGGACATCAGGAAAGTGGTTGCCTAACTCAGGCCAGGTAGATGTTTGGGCATCCAAAATAAATGAAGGACAAATTTGTGCCCATCATTTCCTAGTGAATTCTAAATTTTGGTCTAGATTAATATTGTAGCCAATCTCAAAGGGGAGACTATAACTAATCCAGATGTTTGAATCAACAGGCTATTTTGTAAGTAAAGAGTCACACCCCTTTTTGAAGCTTTTGCGTTAAAAAAAATTGAAGTTCTGAACTGGAACATTTGGTTTTAGTGTCATAGCTTTATTAATGGTGAGACACCTGGTGAGTCATCTGCTGAATCTTATTGATAGACATGGAAAGGGTTTGTCTGTCCTACTCAGAGGGCTGTTGTGAGATCAGGGGAAATGTTACACATTCTAGGGGAACAAGAAACACATCCAGAGAAACAGAAACCACACTCTTCCCTCAAAACCAGAATCAAATACTTAGACCTTCTGAAGAAGCCCTGAGCACCAGGCACTGCAGGCCTCGGTTGGACAGAAAGTAAAGTTGGTCTTCAGGAGTCTTCACAGAATCAAGAGTGAAAAATAAATGACCATTTTTTTTTTTTTTCACCAAAGACTAAAACCAAACTTTGGGTTTTAGGTGGGTCTTATAATGTTCCCTGGAAAATCCTTTTCTATTTTTTTTTGGATTTAGATCTGTGGTGGACTATAGCAGCACCCCCACCACCCCTGTTCTGGGGATCCAACCCAGAACACTCACGTACGCCAGGCAAGTGCTCTACCATGGAACCACATCCCCAGCTCATACAGCAACTTTGGTTTGAAGAGCATGAGATGTAAGAATGTGGCTCTGTTGTCAAGTGGCCTTTCTAAAGTCAGCTGTGATGCAGTGGATTTGGAAATGACCTCCAAGGTTTCTGTTTCCCAGAGTGAGCCCTTCAGTGCCTAGCTGTCTAAAACATGTTTACAGGCATTCATCATAGCTGCTTTGGGGAAACCAGATTCCACTTACTGTTAGCTTTAGATCTGTGTAGTCAGGAAGTTAGCTGTTTTTTGCTAAAGAAAGAAAGAAAGGGTCATCTGGTTCTGTACTTACAGCATTTTAAAACTTCTGCTTTTTTTTTTTGTTATGAAAGAAATGATGAAATTGTTAGAATTTGAAGAGTTTGACAGTAATTGGCTATACTAATTTCCCTCACTCAGATCAGTTTTGGATAATCATGTAGAGTTAAAAATAATAAACATAGACATGTACACACAGGCACACACAAATCAGCTTTAAAATATTTGACTCAGTTACCCAGATGTTTGAGTTTGGGAGTTTGATTTAGCGTGATTTCTCTTCATTCTGCCTGAATACATAAAATCATAAATTGTTCATCTCATTATCTTTTTATATTGAAAACTAAAGTGTATACAACATTGAATAAAACTTTGAAAGAATAAATCTGAAAACATTTTTATTACAGCTTAAAAGGAGCTTGGATGCCTTAATCATACATTTTCTTAAGAGCCATAATAAATTTGAATTTAAAAAGACATACTGCAAAGTTTGTTGTCAGTGTCCTAGTTATAAATATTTTTACTAATCAAACAACAACATGCAAACAAAGTCTGATATAGTAACCTTTTTGTAGCATGTACATTTCTAAGGAAGAATGTAAAGAAATTAATGTAAAGAAGTGGCAAGTTTTTTTCTATCACTAGGTAGAATATTTATCAGTTGGGTTAAAACAATTTTTTTTTTTTTTTGGTAAATGTTACTGTCAGGGAATTTTGCTTACTGACCATTATATAAGCAGACTTGACATTTTATGGAACATTTCTCATATAGGTGCATTTGAATTTTGATGAGGAAGTAGTTATAAACCGGTCAGCTCTTCTTCATGTTAGATTTAGTGCAACCCTGGAAACCACTAAAACAATTTCATGTCGCTGACGGTTCATAGTAATCCTGTACTGCTTTCTTGCTGCTCAGGTTTTCCATGTTTCTTCTGTCTCTTGACACTTCTTCTTATATTTAGGGCATTCCTAAATTCCACATTGATAATTTCTTCTACTCTCACCCTGTTTTCTTGGTATAAAGATGATAATTTGCAAAATCATGCATCTTATTTAAAGTAAGGGATATTCCAGGAAATATCTTGTTTTAAAAGCTTAAAACAACACAGAACAGATTACTGATGTACTTATCTCTTTTAGAAATTATATATACCAGACTTTAAACAGTTTATTTGGATGAAATCATTAGCAACATTTGTCCCCTTTCTTGGTACGGGTACGAGGCAGAGCAGTACAACACTCACACAGGAACATGGAGCCCACTCTGGTGCATCTCCATGGAGTGGACAGAGGAGGGAAGGGAAGTGCAAGTCTGTCTCCTGTATGTGATAATCCAGGTGTTTTCTTTGTCAATGGATAGTGGCCCAGTTCTGCATTATAGGTTAGAGAAACAGGGCAGAAGTGAAATAAAGTACATGAAAGTTGAGCATTCTGAGAGTGTATTATGTGGGGATTCCTGTGAGCTCCCCAAAAATGGAAAATAAAACCAGAATGAAAGTGCAAACCATTCTAACTTCATTCTTTGCCTTCCATGCACATTAAAGGGTTTGGTTTAGAACAAGGCCCAAAGTTCATTGTAATTCTTATCAACTAAAAAACATGGATTGTGTTATGTAAAATATTTCTCAGGGCCATTGTTAACTGTGCAATTCCATTAGATAAAATCATGGGTCTGTTTTTTTTTTTTTTTTTTTTTTTTTTTTGCTGCTGAGACATGTTTTCTATAGCTGCTTTTATTGAACCCTGCAAAGAAAATTCCAATTGGATAGATTCCAATCCCCAAGTAAGGGGAATGAAACTGTTAGGTTTTTATCTTAGATCTGTTTGAATTTGAGGTGTGATAGTATCTGGTCTGTAGTGAATGAATAATGAAAAAGCTTCATGTAAAATTTCGGGTCATTCTATGGATCATCTCTGAGTTATGTCATGGCTGAGGGGATTTATAGCATTCCTTTCCAAGTCAGAATCTATCAGTGTGCTTCTTGAGTGGTGGATAGGAGGTCTAGGATAACAGCTGCTCCACTGTGAGTCTATTAGGACTGATTATAGAATAGAGTAGCAGAATATCTTTTGGCTTTCTATTTACTTTGTATGTTTTCCTAAAATCAGCTGTGCTCATCACCCACTCCTACCCCTCTGTTCATTACTGTGCTACTTGATACTTAGGCTGTATGTCTTGCCTGGAGGGTCACTTTTCCCTTTGATTCTGGGATATGACTTTCAAGTTCAGCAGTAATGTCAGTGTCCTTGTTTTAGCTTTGTGATCATCCCCTAGGGAAGGCATGTTTAATTACTCCATGTATTGAGTATATTTAGCAATACTGTGTGTCAGATTCTGTGTGAGGAACTAAGGATTCAGAGACAATAGGAATCTCATCATCTCCTTCCCAATCCTTAGTTTTGGAACTTGCAGTGTTCTGGCAGACAGTCCAGCAATAATTGAGCAATGTGACTAGTGCTATGTATAAGATGGTGGAACTGTAGAGATGGGGGGTATTTATAGAGCATTTTGATCATCTGCCCTAGCACGTGCAGTGCACTGTGGTTTATTTGTGTAACTGTCTTCTAAACTAGACTGCTTCTCAAGGATAGGAACTGTGTCTGCTCATCTTTGGGTCACCAGCACTCGGAGAGCCTCCTGTGTGTCGGTGTCCTGTATCCTAAATCTACAGATGAGAGATGTGGTCGCTGTGCCTAAGGAAGTTTTCTCCTGGTGGAGGAGACGGATGTGTCATGCTCAGATTCAAGATAGGATGATGGGGAGCTGAGGGAACACCTCACAGTCTGGGGAAAGGCTGTCAGGAACAACTAGAGAAAGTACTGTTTAAGATGAGACACTTCGAAGAATCTGAAGCCAAGTAACATGGAATTCTAGACAGGATGCAGCTACCGAGGTTGTATGGTGTTTGGAGTTTTATATCAAGGGCCATAGAGAGCCATGGAGAGATTTTTAAGTCAAGGAGTGATATGGAGGATATTTCAGAAAGGAGACCCTTAACACACCAGGGGCAGAGACCATTTTTCTAGTTGGGAGAGCAGTACTGGAACTGAGATTGTGGAGGGGGTAAACTTGGGCCTGGGTTATGATGGGAAGCAAGGGATTGCTGGCTTTTGACTTGGACACATAGCTGTGCCAATCAGTGACACAGGAAAGGCCAGGTTCTGTGACTTTAGGCATGTTCCTGATGCTCCTCTGCTCTGAGCCTTGGTTACTTGTCCCTCAGTATAGCTGAGCCTGTGCTCAGATCTCCTATGCTAGTGCTCCCTGCAGCCATGGTGGCTCTCCCTACCCTGGCAGCAGCCCTGCATCCAAGAGCTCCCTTCCTGGTTGTAATAAGCACCTCGCCCTCCCCCTCCATCTCCTGGACGTCCAAGTCCTTGAGAAGCAGAACCGACCTTTGTAGGCCATTAAGAGCTTCTCCCCCATCTCTTTCTTTACCCAAGGCCAGAGTTCTGCTTGCTCATTGTGTGTTCCAGAAAGAAAACTACTGCTGTTTTTTAGAATGTATTGTGTTTTTTTCCTCTAACCATTTATGAGCACCTGAGAACTCCAACCCAAGCTGTTCTTTATTTCAGCTGTCACCACAATACGAGCTTCTGTAACCTGCTACATCAGTGAAGGCCAGTTGCCCAGATACAGGTTGCTGCTCAAATCAGCTGCCATGCTTTGCAGCAAGAGCCTCCAGCTCCTCATGGGTTCTTTGTTTTCATATGTGATCCCTCCGAGTGTCTGTCACATTGGTTCTGAGTCACAACATCAAAAATGTTTTAGGCATTCAGGATGGGTTTGGAGCAACCATTCTTCTGCCCCTCCAACATTTTGACTGA